GACACAGAATCGGAAGCAGGTTCCAGGCTCTGAGCCATCAGCCCAGAGCCTGACGCGGGGCTCGAACTCACGGACCGCGAGATCGTGACCTGGCTGAAGTCGGACGCTTAACCGACTGTGCCACCCAGGCACCCCAGCAAATTCATTTTAAAAAGCAACAATCACAAGGTTAGTGTGGTTTCTCGGATATACTCCTTTCAAGTCCCTCCTTGTTTAACCACTAAAATACTTCCCAGAGTACCAAATTAGTGCCAAAGAAAGAATAAAAATGGTGGTACTACAGAGTAGTATGTCCTTGTGTGCTCTTGAAATAAGTAATTGTTTTTAGGCCTCATTTTCCTCATTTGATAACGAGGATGCAGTGGTGAACATAACATAATGTATAAACTTGTTGAATCACTATGTCGTACATCTGAATCTAATGTACCATTATGTATCACCATATTCAAATAAAAACAATAATAAAAAAATAAAATGAGGATGCTGGATGAGATCAATGGCTTCCAAAATGTCAGACCTGCTACATCAAGTCATGTTGAGGAACATGTTTAATAATCCTGGTTCGTGGGGCACCTGGGTGGATCAGTCAGTTAAGTATCCGACTTTGGCCTAGGTCATGGTCTCCGATTTGTGAGTTAAGTCCCACACTGGGCTTTCTGCTGTCAGCACAGAGCCCACTTCAGATCTTCTGTCCCCACCCCCATGCTTTCTCTTTCAAAAATAAACATTTTACTTAAAAAAAATTTTTTTTAAACATTTATTCATTTTTGAGAGACAGAAAGGGACACAGCGTGAGCAGGGGAGGGGCAGAGAGAGAGGCAGACACAGAATCTGAGGCAAGCTCCAGGCTCTGAGCTATCAGCACAGAGTCCAACATGGGGCTCAAACCCACAAACCATAAGATCATGACCTGAGCCAAAGTCAGACACTCAATTGACTGAGTAATCCAGTGCCCCAATAAACATTAAAAAAAAAAAAAAAAAATCCTGGTTCTTAAAAAACACGATGTCATTTACATTAGCACCCAAAACAAAAGAGAAATATTTAGGTATAGATTTAACAAAATATGTACAATCCAAATGAAGGAAACTTCAAAATTCTGATGAATGGCGGCACCTGGGTGGCTCAGTCAGTTAAGTGTTCAACTTTTGGTTCGGGTCATGATCCCACAGTTGGTGGGTTTCAGTCCCATATAGGGCTCTGTGCTGGCAGTACGGAGCCTGCTTGGGATTCACTCTCTCCGTCTCTCTCTCTCTGCCTCTCCCCTGCTCACACTGTCTCTCTCAAAATAAATAAGTAAACTTTAAAAAAATAGTTTAAAAAAACAAAACAAAAAAACCCCAAAAAACAAAACTCTGATGAACAAAATCAAAGAACTAAATAAATGGTTTTTCCATGTTCATGGATAGGAAAACTCAGTTTTGTCATTCTCAACTTTATAAATTCAATGCAATCCCAACCAAAATGTGTTGTGGAAATCAACAAATTCATTCTAATATTTGTGTGGAGAGACAAAGACCCAAGATTTCCAACACGATAGGAAAAGAATGGAGGAGGAGGACTGATACTACCTGACTTCAAGACTTACTATAAGGCTACGGTAATCAAGACAGCGTGGTACTGGGGAAAGAATACATCAGTGGAAGAGAATAGAGAGCCCAGAAGTAGAACCCCATAAATATAGTCAACTGATCTTTGACAAAAGAGCAAAGGCAACACAATGGAGCAAACAGAGTTTCTTCAACAAATGGTACTAGAACAACTGCACATTCACATGAAAAAACACACATCTAGACACAGACCTTGCACCTTTTACAGAAGCCAACTCAAAATGGATCACAGACCTAATATAAAATGTAAAATATAACTCGGAGAAGGTAACAGAAGAAAACATAGATGACCTTGGGTATAGCAAAGACTTTTAGACACAACACCAAAGCACAATCCATAAAACACTGATGAGCTGAGCTCCATTAAAATTAAAAACTTCTGGGGGCACCTGGGTGGCTCAGTCGGTTAGGCATCCCAACTTTAGCTCAGGTCATGATCTCCTGGTTCATGAGTTCGAGCCCTGCATTAGGCTCTCTGCTGTCAGCACTCAGCCTGCTTTGAATCCTCTGTCCCCGCCTCTCTCTGCCCCTTCCCTGCTGGTGTGCTCTCATGCTCTCAAAAATAATCAAACGTTTTTTAAAAATTTAAAAAAATTAAAAACTTCTGCCTGCTAAAGACAATGTCAAGACAATGAGAAGACAGGCCACAAGACAGGGAGAAAATATTTGTACATCTGATAAGGGACTATTATCCAAAATGTACAAAGAACTCTTAAAACTCAACAATAAGAAAACAACATGATTAAAAAAAATGAGTTAAAGATAGCAGACATCTCACCAAAGAAGATACACTGATAACAAAACGCATATAAAAACATGCTCCATATCAAATGTCATCCCGAAAATGCAAATTAAATCAACAGTGAGGTACCACTACATACTTATTGGAAGAGCAAAAATCTGAAGCAATGACACCACCAAATGATGATGTGGCGCAATGGAGACTCACGTTCATTGCTGGTGGGAATGTAAAATGGTATAGACACTTGGGAAGAGAGATTGGTGGTTTCTTTCTTTCTTTCCTTCTTTTTTAACATTTTATTTTTAAGTAATCTCTACACCCAATGTGGGGCTCAAACTTACAACCCTGAGATCAAGAGTTGCACGCTCTACTGACTAAGCCAGCTAGGTGCCCCAGATTGGTGGTTTCTCAAACACATTCAGGGGTGCCTGGGTGGCTCAGTCGGTTAAGTGTCTGACTTTGGCTCAGGTCAATATCTCACGGCTTGGGAGTTCGAGCCCTGCATTGGGCTCTGTGTTGACAGCTCAGGGCCTGGAGCCCGCTTCGTAGTCTGGGTCTCGGTCTCTCTCTGCCCTTCCCCCGCTTGAACACACATGTGCTCTCTCTCAAAAATAAAAAACATTAAAAAAAAAACAAACCTAAACATACTCTTACCATATGATCTAGCAATCACGGTCCTTAGCATTTACCTAAGAGAGTTGAGAAACTTAGGTCCACACAAAAACTTGCACGTAGATGTTTCCAGCAGCTTTATTCATCATTACCAACTCTTGGAAGCAACCAAGATATCCTTTAGTAGGTGAATGGATAAACTGTTACATCCCGATGATGGAATATTATTTGGCACTAAAAACAAATGAGCTATCAAGCCATGAAAAGACATGAAAGAATCTTAAATGCGTATTACTAAGTAAAAGAAGCCAATTTCAAAAAGGCAAAACGCTGAAGACAGTAAAAAGATCAGTGGTTGCCAGGGGTGGGAGGGATGAATAGAAGGAGCACAATTTTCCAGGCAGGGAAAATACTCTGAAATGTACCACAGTGATGGATACATGTCATTATATGCTTGTCCCAAACCACAAAAAGTATAACACTAAATGTGAACCCCAACAAAAACTATGGACTTTGAGTGATTATCATGTGTCACTGTAGGTTTATCAATTGTAAAAAATGTACCACTCTGGTGGGGAAAATGGGGGAGGCTGTGCATGTGGGGGCAGTGGGTATATGGGAAATCTTTGTATCTTCCCCTCAATTTTGCTGCCAACCTAAAGCTCTTCTAAAAAAAATGTCTTAATTTAAAAACAAAAATTCCGGGGCGCCTGGGTGGCGCAGTCGGTTGAGCGTCCGACTTCAGCCAGGTCACGATCTCGCGGTCCGTGAGTTCGAGCCCCGCGTCAGGCTCTGGGCTGATGGCTCAGAGCCTGAAGCCTGTTTCC